CCTGGCACGTACTGCATCGTGCCCTCGACGTTTGAGCCCAACGAGGAGGGAGAGTTCATCCTGAGAGTGTTCTCGGAGAAGTCTAACGAGATGGAGTGAGTTTTCGGGGAGAGGGAGAGAAAGAGGGGAGAGGGAGGAGGGGGAGAGGAGAGGGAGAAAGAGGGGAGAGGGAGAGGGGAGAGGAGAGAAAGAGGGGAGAGGGAGAGGAGGGAGAGGAGAGAGGGGAGAGAGAGAAAGAGGGGAAGAGGGAGGAGAGAAAGAGGGGAGAAGGAGGGAGAGGGGAGAGGGAAGGAGGTAGAGAGATGGAGTGAGTTGTAGGGAAGAGGGAGAGAGAAGGAGAAACCTGGGGAAAGGGAGGGAGAGGTAGAGAGGTAGAAGGTGAGAGAGAGAGAGAGAGAGTGAAGAGAGAGAAAGAAAGAAGGGGGAAAGAGAGAGAGAAAGTAGGGAATAGAGAGAGAGAGAGAGATAGAGAGAAATCAATTATATGAAATTAATATCTTATACAAAAAAAAAAAAAGATTAAAAAAACAATGACAATAATGATATGACACAACGAAAAAACAAATATAGGAAAGAAACAAGAATGATTTCTTAAAAATATGATTACTAAGTTGATATTTTTTTATCTTCACAGAGAAAACGACGAAGAGGTCGGACTTGGCGAAGTTGATGAAAGGGTAAGTAAAAAAAAAAAAAAAAAAAAATGAAAAGACAAAAAATAGAAAAATATACGTAATTACAAGTACGTTTGTACGTATATGTGCGTATTTTTGGAAATGCATGGCTAAGCTTGTGGCATTTTTTAATTTGTTACATTTTTTCCATTATTTTCATGCCAACTTAGTTGCTTGAAGATATTTTTTTTTGTGGATTTTGTTCATAATTTAATTTTTAAAGGATAATATTGCATCAGTTGATATTGTTATTTTTTATTATATATTATGTTAATTGATACAAATTTCTTATTTATTTATATTTTTTTATTAGTAAAGATTATTTATTAATGAATTATATTCTTTATTTAATTATTATACATTATTTATTATTATATTCTTTTATCAATTGACTTACGTAGTTTATTTATTATTTATATTAATTCTTTATTAATCATTTATTAATTATTTATTAATTGATTCATATTCTTTATTTAATTATTCTATATTATTCATATATTGATTATATTCTTTTATTAATTGACTTAAATAATGCATTTATTATTTATATTGATCCTTTTTGTTGCTCATTAAAAGCTTGGATTATTTAAAGGCTGGAAATTGTATATAAGAAAAAAATAAACCAATGATTTTGTTTATTAACGTCACTAATATTGTTATTATTATTGTTTTTTTATTAGTCACTAATATTGTTATTATTATCACTATCATTTTTATTGTTATTGTTATCTTTATTATTATCACTATCATTTTTATTGTTATTGTTATTATTAATATTGATATTGTTATCATTATTGATAATATTGCGATGGTCATTATTATTATTATTGTTATTACTATTATCCTTAATATTATTATCATTATCATTATTATTATTATTATTATTATTATTATTATTATTATTATTATTGTTATTATGATTATGATTGCTAGTCCAGAGTAATTTTATTTATTATTATTGATATTATTATTATAATTGTTGTTATTACTATTATTATTATAATTGATTCTATTATTATTATTATGTTATTGTCATTATTATTCCAATTATTATTATTGACATTATTATTTTTTTATCATCATTATTATTATTATTATTATTATTATTATTATTATTATTATTATTATTATGATTGCTATTGTAATTATTATTGTTATCGGTATTAATATTTTTGACTGTTTTCGGAATATTTATTTTATTTTGGAATATTTATATTTTAATGATTATTTATTATTGGTATTATTTATTTCTGTCATTATCTTCATTCTTTTTGGCATTTTGATTTTTGTTTTTATTGATATTATTGTTACTATCATTATTATGATTACTGTTATTGTTATTGTTTATTATTATTCTTATTATTATCATTATTTTTTGTTCTTCTTATTGTTATTGTTATTTCATCACTAATATTATTATTGTTATTATTGTTATTATTGTGTTATTATTATTATTATTATTATTATTATTATTATTATTATTATTATTGTTGTTGTTGTTATTTTCATCACCACTATTATTGTTATTATTATTATTTATTTATTTATTTATTTAATTTTTTTCTCTCAGTATTTCAGTCTCATTTGCCGAGCATAGTATTTTGTCAGACTTTTCAGTAATTTTGTAAAAGCTGTAAAATTTGCTTCTTTTTTTAAGTTAAAGATGAGCTTAATTTAGCGCTTATTTTATGCATGAATGTTAATATTTCTCTTGTAGCTTGTAGATGAGAAAAGAAGAGAAATTATAGCTTTTTTATAAAGATCTGTGTAGTTTTTCTCTGTCTTTGCCTTTCTTGTCTATTCTTTCTTTTCTTTCTCTCTTTCTGTTTTTTCTCTTTTTCTCTGTGTATTTCTTTTTCTTTTGTTCTTTCTCTTTTGTTCTTTCTCTCTCTTTTATTGCTTCTCTCTCCTTCTGACTCTCTTCTCTTCTGACTCTCTCTCTCTCTCTTCTCTCTCTCTCTCTCTCTCTCTCTCTCTCTCTCTCTCTCTCTCTCTCTCTCTCTCTCTCTCTCTCTCTCTCTCTCTCTCTTCTCTCTCTCTCTCTCCCTCTCTCCCTCTCTCCCTCTCTCTCTCTTCTCTTTCTTTCTTTTCTTCTCTCCCTCCCTCCCTCCTTCTCTCTCCTTTTCTCTCTCTCTCTCTCTCTCTCTCTCTCTCTCTCTCTCTCTCTCTCTCTCTCTCTCTCTCTCTCTCTCTCTCTCTCTCTCTCTCTCTCTCTCTCTCTCTCTCCCACCCTCCCTCCCTCTCTCCCTCCTCTCTCTTCTCTTCTTCTTTTCTTCTCTCCCTCTCTCCCTCCCTCCCTCCTCCTTCTCCCTCCCTCTTCTCTCTCTCTCTCTCTCTCTCTCTCTCTCTCTCTCTCTCTCTCTCTCTCTCTCTCTCTCTCTCTCTCTCTCTCTCTCTCTCTCTCTCTCTCTCTCTCTCTCTCACTCTTTAACTTTTTCCTTCCTGCCTTTCTTTCTTTATTTGTTTACTTACAGATCTCCGTAAATGTATATTATTTTCCTGCATTTTTTTTTTTATATCATTTGTCACACATTTTTATTATCTTTCTCTCTCCCTCTCCCTCTTTCTCTCTCTGTCTCGCTTAAGCATCGAAGGAGAAAAATACCAAGATTCCAACTAATAGCATTTATTGTGAAATGGGTACGTTGGATTCGTACATGATTATACGAACATAATGCACAAGTAACACAAATAGAATACGTGTCTTTTTTATGCACACTTGCATGTCTAATATGCACATGGAATATGCATATGGATATGTATGTGTGTGTTTGCATACAAGCATGTAATACATGCTTTTAGAAATACATACCTGTGCACACATATAAGTATGCATACGTGCTGATGCATATGTGCAAACACAAACACACACACACACACAAACACAAACATAAACACACACAAATACAAACAGAAACACACACACATACACATATGCATGCACAAATTTGCGCATACACATGTGCAGACACACAAACAAACACACGCACTCACAAACAGTCAAGCACTTGTATGCATGAAAAGACATACACACTTAACATGTACTGTACAGTAGATCCTTCTAATGTGCACTCTTCATTGTTACAAATATTACGCCGATTTAGAGTACGTACAATCCAAAGCTCCAGATTACAAGGTACTTTCCAGATTTAAAAGTCACGGAAGGATAAAAGTCATTGAGCTTATACGTGTCGTGTGAAATTCAACATATTGTATTTTGTAAAATACCGGAAAATATACATAGTTTATAAAATTCTTTATGTTATATGTGTTACTTGGCATATCATCTGTTATATGTCGCATGAAATGATTATCCGTGTTTTGTCAATTACCATTGGTTATACACGTCTCATGAATTACATTGAATCGTATGTTTTGATGAAGTACGTAAAATCATGCGTGTCTGATGAAATACGTTATATTATACATGTTTGATGAAATACCTTCAATTATCTATTTTGATGAAATATGTTAAATCATACGTGTTTGATGAAATACCATATATTGTGCATATTAGTCAGGCCGGCCTCAAAATAACTCAAGGGAGTTGTTCATGTCGATACAATCTACGGTCAGATCTGGGTCTCTCTCTCTCTCTCTCTCTCTCTCTCTCTCTCTCTCTCTCTCTCTCTCTCTCTCTATCTCTATCTATCTACGGTGAGATCTGTCTAAACCAGCCCATAGGGATTTTATCATCTTTTTTTTTTTGTAGATAAATTTGTAGATTACAGGATGAAAAACCTGAATTATCAGATCCCCCCCCCCCCCCTATACATGCGCACGTAAATAGTCCACTCAGCGGTACGAGGTTTAGAAAAAGAAGTACATGCTCATTCTAGCTGGATCTGCTGTACATTCATAAATATCAAAATACAAAATGAATGGGTTGAATATACAATGGAAAAGGAAGTAATTAGATTTCTCTCTCTCTCTCTCTCTCTCTACTCTACAATAAACTCTACGTCTCCAATACTCTACTCTCCCTCTAACTAAACAATAAAAAAAACATCTCTCTACTACTACTATCTAGAACATCTACTAACTAACTACAATCTCTCTACATCACAAAACACTTCACAGCAACGCCAATCCTCGAAAAAACCATCAACCCTCCATCTCGTCTCTCTCTCTCTACATCTCTCTACACATAAATACTAACAATTCATTTACTCTCTGTAAAATACACCTACTCTCAGATAAAAGTTAAATAAAACTCTAAAAAGCATCAACTTGTCATCAAAAAAGATAGATGAATTAACTATAAAATAATATCTCGATCGTCTAACAAATAAAAAAAGCTACTACTGAACTCGATACAATACAATA